GGGGAGAGGGGACGGGGAACGGTTCGGGAGGTCCCTCTGGGGCGCGTTCCTCTGGTACACGGGGCTGCGCTCTGAAGTTGTCCTTATTAAAGCCGAGTTGTTGCTCCTGCATTAAACTATTTCCCTAACTGCCATTCAGGTCTCTTTTTTTTTAATTTTAATTTCGTAATGCGTGCTTTCTAAAAAGGTATTCTAAAAGTGACAACATAGCATTTTTGCTATTTTGGGAGGGGAGCAAGAGATGTTTTTTTGCTACATACCTCAAACTCCGAGCATGCTTCCTAGCAGCGTGACTCGCGAACAGTTCTAAGCTTCACGTTCTTCTGACAGATTCAGTTTTTAAACAATGCCTTTTACGCATGTATGTGATTATATAAGTATATCTTAATAAAAAAAAAATCTCTAATATTTAAAGAGTTATATTTTGACATGTGACTAAGCAGCAATACTGCAAAATGATCCGGAAAGAAGCACAACATTTTTGTCCCAAATTGTGCTAAACCGAATCCACCGAGGCTCTAGTCTGTATGGTGGAAGATTTTAGGCTTAAAAGTTCCACTCTACTTCCACTTGGGTAGAATGTGAGCTTTTGTACTCTTCGAAACTGGAGATTCATATTGCCTGAATGTATTTTAACCTTAGTTTTAGCAAAGAGGAAATTTTAGCTTTTCTTTTATCTAGATGTATTTTCTTATTCATCTTCTGTATTTTTCTATTAATGGCTTTCTACTAACTGATGTCTCTGGTTTTACAGGTGACATTAAATCATTATAACAGAACTATTTCTAAAGTAAAGCTTGATTTGCAATCCCATCTTTAAAAATGAGAAAATTAATTTTCTTTAATGTGCAGTAATTTTTTTAAAAAAAGATCTACAGGTAAAACAGGATAGCGAAATTGCTGATGAAATTGTGACAGTAATCAACTATAAAAAGAAATGTAATGCTTTTAGTCTTTGTAAATAAATATATCTTCTAAAGGACTTATTGTACAACAGATGAAATATTTCTGGGAAGGTAAAATTAGCTAAAGTTTGAAAAGTCAGTTCAGTTTGAGAAAATATGAAAGCAGTGCTCTATAGTATAGAAAATAAATTTTCACAAAGTCTCATGAAAGTATTATGACACTTTACAAAACTTCACACAACTAGAAAACTTAGTAGCCACTGAAGGAAACATTTCTGGGGGTGTATTTGTGTAACTAAAGGCAAAAGGTTATATTTAGGGATGTTTAGAAGTAACTAGTGCTTTTGGTTTTGGTTTTTTCCTAGCTCTCTCTTTTGCTTCTACTTTTTAAAAACACAAAATGTCTGAAGTTAAGCAGAGGAAAAAAGGTATTTCTTCATCTGAGACCAATGCAAGTTCACAGAAGGTTGAGAAGCACAGTAATTGTAGGAAGCTGGCAAGTGCCAGGACCAGCAGTAACTGGAGTTCCTTTTCAATGGACTTGCGGACAAGCTTGATCATAATTTCCCTTGCTGCTTGCCTGGTGCTGACCTGGTAGGTAACCCTCTAAAGTGGATTTTAATATTTTCTTTTGGTTCTGTACTATATTCAGTCACTAGCAATATGATTAGTTACATTTGAATATAGTGTTTGGTTTAAGTGACTAGAAACTTGTTAAAGCTAGAAGGATCAAGAAAAGAATAGCAGTATTTGCAAGCGTAGAAACATTGGTATACAGTGAGGGATTATAGAAGTGCTCTCTGTTCTATCATGTTGAAAGTTTAAAAGGTCCCTTGCTCATGAATTGTAAATGGCTGTTTTGGAGACTACATCAAACTGTGAAGAGCAACTTAATCTGACAATAAGTACAACAAGGCTCATTTGGCAGGTAATAAATAATTCAACAGTAGAAGTAAAGTAGAATTTTCTGTAAATAATTTGCTCAGCAGTGTGGTAAATTGTTCATCAGGTGAAGTCTTCAAGTAAAGGTCAAATACCTTTGTCAAAGATGTTTTAGAATATCTTAGCAGTCTCAGTACCTTAGTTCCATCAGAAACTGAGCTTCATGCAGAAATAGTGTGATTAAATTCTCAGAACTCTAGTGCAAGAAATTAGTCCAGATTATTACACTGTAGATGTAAATCTGAAAATTATGGTAAAATTTGTTCTTATAAATCTCTGAGAAACAGAACAACATAGAAGAATAAAATGATTGGTGATGCTTCTGCTTATGTTTTATGTATATCCATTTATGTCTGTTTTGCCTTTATCTACCTATAGCTAGCATTGTAGCTTTTATTGCTTAACTTAATCTATACAAAATAATGTAGATCTTTTGATACTTCTAATTGCTATTCAATATACTAATAAATACCAATTTAGGAAAGCACAAGTATTTTAAACAAACTTTATTGTTCTAGATTACTTACTACTGAGAGGACCACTGCATAGTCTACAATAAACCTTGTTTTGGGATTAAAAAAGAATATTGATTCAAATTAATATTTTAATTCAGTGGTTTTTGCTTGATTGTCTCATTTCATTTCTAATTGTACAAAGTGCTTACAGTTCAGAAAGCTCCCAGGTTCATAGTGAATGAATCTAGAATGTATAAAAAGTACAGGATTGAGATCTCTACTGTCTGTTCACAAAGCTAGCATCATCATAACAATAGCTATACAAGCTTTGCCACAATGCACCGTATCTTCTTGGATGGTGACAATTAAACATCAGAGTTAACCAGCCTTTTTTAATCCAAAGGCTTCTATGCGTGATTTTGTGATGCTTTGCAATAAAGTCCAAATTATTTTTTTGTGTTTTACTTCCACCAGTTAAATAACAGTTTATCCATAAAATGTATTGTGAGGCAATGCATTACAAGCATGTAATGGCCTCCCTGTGTCAGCAGCTTTATCAGGTGTTTTTTCCCATTTGAATGGCATACAGTGTAAAAACAAAGCACACCTATGGATGTTTCCTTATTTTTCCACCTCTACTGGAAGATAATTCCAGTATGAAAACAGATCAACTTCATTAAATCCTAATTTTTTTTTTTTCTCTCATGCATTTATCTAGCAAATTCTGTGAACACAAATCCCTGCAGTAACAGATTGCTGTGAATCAGATCCTGGAACACTTGATATATGTGAAGTATGTAGTTATGTTTACTATTTATCTATTTGTAATTTGCAGGTTCCTATTTCAGCAGTCAAATCAATTTGCTGATATGGAAAAAAAGTACAATTTCTTACAGCAAGAAGCTGAAAAATTCCTGGATGTGAAAAATAAAGTTAACTTAATTTCTGAAAAGGTAATCATTAACATCTTAGTTGGGCAGTCAGCTGTTGTTGTTTTACTTTGTTGTTATTTATTATTTAGTTAAATTTAACTGACTGTTTTAAAATAAATTTTCATATTGTGTTCTGCTTGCCTGTAAACAGGCCTTTGGAGAATATTTAATGTGACTAAACATGTCAATCCATACTGTTGTTCAAGTATGTGAATACAGTGGTTGTAGCCTAGTATTAATTTTTTAGACACTAAACTATTTTTTAAAACTTACATTTATGGACATACTTCATTTTAACAGTACTGTTCTGTGTGTAATTCTAATATACATATTAGAATTCGAAGAAAAATACATTTTTATGTAGTAGACCTGTTCTAATACTATAAAAGATGTGATGAAGTGATAGCAATATTTTTTCATTGCTATTTTATTTTCTTATCTCTGTGTGACATTATGAAGTAGAAAGCTGGGCTGACTGCTGAATTATCCCCTGTATCTTACAGTTAATGATGGGAGTACAGCTTATGCCAGTCATGTTGGTTTAGCACTGATGTCATTTATACATGATGCAATTTGGATATTTATATACTCCAGATTGCAAAATGTTGCATGGGATTTAGGTAGTATGATATATTTAAAAAAAAAACCAAAACAACCCCAAAACCACCATGGAAAATAAGGGTTTGACAACGAAGAAAATGGCATGTATTCTATAGAAAGTCAACAACAAACATACCCTTTTCTGTGACTTTTTCATGCTAGGTTAATCAACAATATTTTAAAGATTAAATATGAAAACAAAGGATATAGGAGCTTTGTAACAAGTAAAGTGGCTTCTAAGGGACTTTATTCTTTGTTAAATAAATGTGAGTGGTTTTCTATTCTTTTGTTATGTAGACGTGGACATTGTTTTGTGTTATAAATGCAGCTTGAGTCTTCTGAAAGTATCCTACAAGAAGCTGCCTCATCCATCTCTGTGATGACTGAGTTTGAGCAGGACATATCTTCTCTTCGTAACATCATAAATGATACTCAGAACAATGAACAGACTCTCTCTCTAAAGATGGAGACCATTAATGAGAAGTTCCAAAATATTACAAATTCCTGGAGGAGAAGTTTGGATGAAATGAACACAAACAGTAGTGGTTTAAAATCTGAAGCAAAGTTCATACATACAGAAGTTACTTCCCAGATTAATGAAGTTGACCAAAGAATTAAATCCCTTTCAGAAAGAGTAAGAGATTTGGAAGACAGTACAGCCAGAAATATTAAAACACTAAAAAGGCAAGAAGATGATGAATTCTCTAGAGTTGAACAAAAGTTGGACTTACATGCAAAGGCAGTTGAAAAACTAGAAGAACAACAGAATAGTCTGGTAGCCAAGGACACAGACCTGAATCAGAAACTTGCAAGCTATGAACCTAAAATTGAAGAGTGCAAAACCCATTTGCCAACAATTGAAAATGCTATTCACTCTATTCTTAGATTATCAAGTGAATTGCTAAGTATGGAGAAAAAGATAGAGGACTTGACAACACAGCTATATACTTTGGAAAACGATATGCTGAAAACTGTTTCTGATACAATGGCAATGCAAAAGGTTCTTGAAGGCATACAGTACGACAACATACTGAAAGTGCAAAATGAAGTAGTGGTTTTAGAAGTAGTGCATGACATAAAAGTACCTTCAAAACCAAAAGAAATAACTTTAGAAAGCTATAACTTAGAAAATGACCAGAATGGGGATAAGTAAATTTGGATTTAGCGTTTTCATTGATGAAAGAGTGCTTTAATTTATTATAAATACTGTGACTCCAACATATGTTAATGGTAGCTGAAATACTGTCATCAATTTAGGCATTGGATCACACTGAAAGGCAAACTTACGATGAAGAGGATAGAGAACAAGAAATACTGTGCTGGAGGAGACAAGGAGTATTTTCTTAAATAAACCAAGGATTGTTTTCATCTTATTTATTAAAAGACCATTTTTATTAAAACAGAATTTGAAGCAAAGTATTTAGATTTAAGAAAATGAAAATCAAAACCAGAGACATCAGAATAAAATGTATATTTAGTTCTCAATACTTTTAAAAATATTTTTACTTTTTTATTACAAGTCCATAGACTATAACACAATGAACAATTAAGTTAGCAGCTCTAGGCAGATATACGTGCACCTCACTTTTAATATATTATATACCATAATGTTTTTGTGCTTATGGTACAGACTTCTCAATGTCAGTGTTGTTACTGGGATCTACATATTCTGTTATGTGCAGGAAAGCGCTAACTACATTTTAACAGCTGAAGCTTACATAGAACTGCATTACAGAAAGCACTAGTAAAGCACCCCTTACTGAGAACCTTCTCTTGTACTGGTATTTACATGCAGGGGGTTTCATAGCAGCTGCTATTATCTTTTATTTCTTTGACTGCATGCAAATACCCTCCTCAGACCTCATTTCCAGCCTTTTCAAACTCTATAAATCACTGGTATAGTTTTGTTCTGCCATTGAAGTCATTGGACAACATACTGATTGAAGTTCTTATGAACAGATACTGCTGTTAGATTCCTCTGTTATTTAATTTGCAAGTTTGGTGTGATCAGTCACTGTATTAGTTTGGGGTTTTTTGGGGGGTGGGATGTTTGTTTGCTATGGTGCTGTTAGGAACAAGTTTTAACCTTTCCTTCAGTAGAATGTTCTCTGTTAGGCATTACGTGACATATCTGTTACTGCTTTGCATTTCAAAGGGGAAAAAAAATGTCACTGACACAGTTTCCCAAACTTTTGGGAACTTGGTGAATCAAGAGCTGTAAAAGCAATTAATGAAGGCCATGGAGTTATGTACTTGGGGGCAGGGAATATCTAATTTATCCATAGGTCTAATAGATCTACTTACACAGGTAAGTACCTGTACCCAATAGGTCTGGTAGCTGTTCAGCAAAATTTCGATCTTGGGACCACCATAAATTTGTGTCTACAGACTTATGTATTGATAATTTCCAATTCCTGATTTCTGAACTCGGGAAAGGAGACTGTTTAGGAGACAGTATGAACCCACAACATTTATGACTTAATGAGGCTTAGGTTAAATTATTCTGGTTTTGTACATTCATTTATATAGAACTCTACTGAAATCTTCACTAGACAGTTAATGCTGCCATTCAAGAGGCTATTAAACCAGCATTTCTCAATGTTATTAAGTCTTTCAGTTTCATATACTTATTACTTATGTATATATTTGTGTTTGTTTACAGTCATATACAATAAAAATATATTGTAGTGGATTGCTCTGTCCTGATGCATAATCTAATTAAAAATAAACTGCTCCTCCAGAAAATGTACAGAATAAATACTTCAGTGTTCCATTAAGAAATACTAGCCTATACAAAAATGTTTAAGTACTTTTCACAAGTGTGTTTCTACTTTGTGTATTTTTGGGGAAGGGTGGCTACATTGCCAGTGGTATGCTCCCCAGTTTAATGTCTTTCATCAACCTCAACCCTGCTGAAAGTACACATGATTGAACAGGAGACCCTCATCCTTAGAGGGCATTAACTAGGAAACAAGTACAACTCTCCACAAGCTAAATTTTGGTATTTTGTTTTTGAGTAAACAGTTCTGTGCTAGTGAGAAATGACCAACACTACCAGAAAGTTAAAAATATTTGTTTCTTTCATAATATTCTTACTATTAGTTTCAAGAAAAGGATTAGTATGAAACTAATTATAGCCTCTTAGAATGTGTTTCAGCTTGCCCATTTAGTGTTTTTTTTTCCTCTCCAAGTTCTACACTGACTCATTGGGGATTGAACAGGGTAGTATCACTCAGGTATTTTCCTTTCTTCTCAAATTTGAAAACCAAGAAGCAATTGTTATAAAGTCAAAAAAGTGAACTAGCAAATTTAGCCAAAAATCGAACAATAGCATGAGTGTTCCTTCATTAATGTAGCTTTTATGGAGGCAGACTATTTAAATAATGTTCTTCCTGTAAAGTATTTTGGTGGTTATTTAAACAAAAGGGAACCATGCCTAATTCTGTTGGCTTTTTCTTCTATGAAATAGAATAGAAAAAGAGTAGAAAATACATGTTATGATTACCAAATAAAAACACATCAGTTATTGTGGTCCATTATTTTTATACAAGAGAGTTTTTAAGAATTCTTAATCTCTCTCAAATGTTTCTGAATATTGTCCTACATGTGTCTTTCTGGATCATGCAGGGTATAGGTTTAATATAAAAATTTCAGTAAATCAGAAGATTGCATTTGATGGCACTGTTTTTGGAGATCATGCTGGAAAGTCATATAGCACCTTCCTGTCATTTTTGTTGTAATAGAAAAAGTAGCATGAATTGAGTATGTATGCTGAAAGGAAAAAAATGAAATTTTTTGTTCTATTGCAACAGAAGTTTCTTTCCTAAAACGGGTTTGTGCTCAATATCAGAATACTGAGATATTTCATTAGAGTATAGCTTTAATTTGTGAGTTGTTAAGCTAGAAATCTTGTCAAATATTTTTCTTTGTATCCCTCTAGTGTGAAAAGACTTGGAACTTAATGGAACAGCTGGAAGATCTTCAAACAATTTCTCACATTAAACATCTGGAGAAAGATATTTATACAATGAAAACATGGTCTAGCAGTATAATTAAAAAACAAGAAGAACTGCAGAAGAATTTAACAACTCTCTTTCACGCAGTTTCAAGTGCTGAACAGAATGTAGCTTCTGTAGCAAAAAACATAACTTTGACTATTGTGACAGTAAAAACTGACATAAGGCGCATTTCAGGCCTAGTCTCAGATCTGACTGCGTTGACAGATTCTTTGCAAACACTGGAAGATAAAGTAGAAAAAGGTGAAAAGAAGACAGTAAAAAATCTAGGTGACCTGCTTACCAGTAGCATCGACCGAAGTACAAAACTACAAAGCTTGGCATCCAGTAACACAAGAAAAATTGAGCAAATTAAGACAGCATTATCTGAGCTAAGGAGTGATTTTAACAAGCATTCGGGTAGACTTTTGAATCTCGAAGGTGACAGAGCAAAAGTTCTGAAGACTGTTACATTTGCAAATGATTTAAAACCTAAGATGTACAAACTTAAAAAGGATTTTGTCATCTTGGAGCCATTAATAAATGACCTAACACTGAGAATAGGAAGATTAGTGGAGGATGTATTACGATGGGAGAAGGAAATTGCTTTACTAAAAGAGAAATTGGCCAATCTAACGAGTTCAAACTGAGATCAAATATATGAAAGATGAAATAACCAAGATTTCAGACATGAATTGATCACTGTGAAATGTCACTGCCTCAAGAATAGTAGCGCTTGAGGAGTGTTAACTCTATCATGTGTAGTACTAAGACAGACAACATTTAAAGACTTTGTTTAGAAGCTCACCAATGCTTAACTAGATTCATCCTCTTCCTTTGGAAAGGACAGAAAGAAGTCATACTGATTTCAAGGGACAAGCTATAATGTGAGCAAAAAACATGTCTCTGTGCAGGTATTTGTCTTTCTGAAGGATGACAGATGCTGTATTTAATAAATTGTTTGTTTTGTATAATAAAACAGTGTTAAGGCATGAAATGTTGTTCTTACCTTTAGAGTTTGCTTTCATGAAGAAAGCAGGACCCAAGGCTGACAGATCTTCAGCTTTCCTTTCCTGCTCCAAAGGAAGGAATAAAATTGTGTTTCCAGATAAACAAGAGTTAGTCAAACTGCAGTAGCAATTTAATATTTGTCTCAATATATTCATGCCATGATTTTTTGAAACTATGGCACTTTCCTTTTTTTTAAATAATATTTAAAGAGGTAAATGCAGTGAAGAAAGCAATGCCCATGAATATTGCTGATGCCCTGCAAAAAGTTTGTCACACCTTTAGATGAAATAATTTGTGTAAAGTTTTCTGTGAGGCTTTATAATTGTAAATCATAACTACTGTGCAGCACTGTTAATCTTTAAAACACAGATGGGAACAATGCTTTGAAAGACCTACTAACCCTCTTGATGGCTTTCTCACAGTGTCATGGTCTCTGTTCAGGAATTTGAAGTGTTATTCATCCATTGTTTCTTAGCCTGTAAAATAGTATAGTGAGCTGCAGAATTAGCAAAGAGGAGCTACTTAGGTCCCAAAAGGTTATAGACTGGTAACAGCCACTGGCAGTATTTCTGCAGTGGAGAGCAAGAGTTTAAAGAGATCTGAGACATCTGAAAACACAGTATGTGGTAGACTGAAGTAACAAGATAATGGGAATGGGTTTAGCAGAGGAAAGAGGGAAAAGTACAATAAATAGGACATACAGCAGTTAAGAAAATCCCTATAAATGAAATGATATCAAGAAGTATAAGCAGACAGTAAGGGCTTTATAACTTGTTTAGTGGGTCATACCTGAACATCTTGGAGCTGCTAGACTCTTGAGTGTATGGCAGATATAATTATTCCTCTCCCTCACTACTGTCATCCTCATTTAGCATTCTGTATCTTTTGGCTGCTTCATGTTGCTAGTCGTCCGTACCTTGCTTGCTTCATTGCGCTCAGTCAACAATAAATGCTTCATTTCATCGTTTTCCTCTTTTTCGTATGGGTCCATTTCTACCTCCAATTTTCTATTACTTCCTTCCAATCCCCATGACAGACTGCAAGAATAAACTTGTCAAAAGACAAGTTTTCCTACAAAGCATCCACAGATACTATTTACCAACCAGTGCTCCTTTGCTCTTTCACATAGTTCATAAGCAAGCCCCTGAAAATAACCAAATGGCAGTTGAAGGAAACAGAAAAATTAAAGAACATCCAGAATGACCATCCATGCTATCATACATGAAACAAAGCATACATACATGAAACATACACTGTAAAAGTTTGGGGTTTTCCTAGTAAATATATCTAATTTGTATATTAAAGCCTGGAATTCACTGAATTCACCAATCCCTGGGTTTTTTTGTTTGTGTGCAAGCTCATGCTAGCCGCGTCAAGGAGAGCACCTGGCACAATAGACATGGCTACCAAAAGAACACTGATACAGCTGTGTGAGAAATCTATCCTATGCATCTTTCACTATGGCCCACATGATGCAGTTAACAGTTATCAGTAGTTTAATTGCATCATGGGCTATAATTTATTTTGTTTTCAACTTTATGATGTATCATTTGTAGTCAGTAACCAGTGAAAATCTGGAGAAGTAGAAATGGAGAGCCAGCAGAGCACTATCTACACAAGTGTAGAGAAGTGGAAAATATGCTCCACAGTTCATCAGACAAGTCTTGACACAGCAGAGATCTTTCTAGATGAAAAGAGCACACACTTTCTTTGGAACAGTAACCACAAAATAAGCCAGGATAAACAACCGGTGGTTTCACTTTCAACCGCCAAATGAACCACCTCCAAATCTTAGAACTCATCTACCAGTGAAAAGCCAAGTATACAGTCTTGTTCATGGTTCCCATGGGGAGTTAACTGCGCAAAAAATGTTACAGAGCCATTTATTTCACTTCATCCATAGATGTATGCAGACCACCCACCCTTCCTTCCCAGGAAGTGCAGGTCCAAAGTATCATGATCCTTTCAGAAACTCTGTTACCAGCAAGAGAGAAAAAGTTTGTCACAGAGATAGAGTTTACTTGGAAAAAAAAAATTTTCAAAATAAAAATCTGGATCTAAAGTTTACACAGACACTGTATTATCCTCAGAAGTAAGGTGAGCGATCAGTAATTCTCCCATAACCTGCACAGGTATTACAAATCTTCATCTGCCTTTCAAGCACACACCTCCACTGTACCAAAATATTAAATGAAATGTTTGGAGTTGCTTTGTAATTACAGTGGTCTATGGACAGAGTCAAAACTCTTTCTACAGTGGAAAAGGCAGAGTGTAAGGTATTTTCCATACATTTAAAGCAGACTACCAACCTCACCAGCAGAGCACATGTCAGCTCAGTAAAACTAGAACCCCTCAGTTCATTTCCTAGGGGTACTCAATGATACTCTCTGCAATTTTATTAAGCGATTGAGAAAGTCAGGTAGTAATGAAAATAAGTTATGCTAGTTAAAACATATCATCCCATGCAGCCCAACCTGTAGTGATACTCAGGACATCTTGGCTTAGTCTGCAGGTACAGAACTGGCCAATTACATTCTAGCCAGCAACTTTCACGGGAAAAACAAAACAGCAACAGCATTGTGATCAGTGCTGAAAAGTGACACAAGCAAGGTAATCCAAACATGTTAAAATCTACTTTTAGACACCGGAACATAACTTCAGCCAAGGAACTTATGCTAGCAACATCCTTCTCCCACATCACTCAACTCACAAAAACCATATCCTGCAGCAAGGCCACATAGCTACTAAGCTCAGCTATCCAAGGTACTCATCTTTGCTATAAAAAAAGCAGGATGTTTATTCTTTTCACTGTGAACTACATAATTATATGTAGAAATGTAAATGAATTACAACTATTTGTATTATTACAGCCCATTTTTAAATGATATGTAACAAGCATTTCGGCAAGTATTGGCACATTTGATCTGTAGTACAATCTGATACAAACAAGGTGTGAATGTAGCTGCTATTCCAAATTTATACAGGCAGTATGCTTTAAACCAGAAAGCTGATCTCAGCTCCAGTAATAGCAAGAAAGGATGTTTTCCCCGTCATAAAACAATATACACAAGCAGCATATACATGATCAATGTTTTACAAAGCACTTTTGGGTTTAGTGACTGGTCTAGAGTTATCTAGATTATACTTGGTTCAAAATGGAGTGCTCCTTTTCAATATGGGAATTTCCTTACAATGAAAGCACAATAGCACCACTGCTCCCCTGCCTCATCTTCTCCACTTTCAGAAAACATACCACACATCATGCTACAAAGCACAGTTATCCATGACAAAGTTGCCTTTTAAATGTATTTTAATACTAGTTTTCCCACTGAAGCCTATGTAACATTTCAGTGGGTGACCCTTCAAGCAATAGCATTTTGTACATTAAACCTCTTCATCTCAAGCATCTGAAGCCTATGGCTGAACATCAATGAAGTCAGCAGCTGCAAGGCAATTCTCTCCCCCTCTGGGTTTTGCCACTGGAACACAACACTGGGAGTAGCACTAAGGATATTTTCCCTTTCCCAGTTGCAGAAGAAAAAGGGGAACAGCTAGCTGCCCTTTGTAGTCCTATCTCAGATAAAATTATCTGAGCATTTTAAAAAGTTTCAGGTCTAACCTTGAACAGTAATAAAATGGATTTAAGATTCTCTTATTACTGCATATATTTAGAACAGCTGCACAAAGGTAACCCAATCCTAGAGAAAAATGGCATGATTTTGCTCCATACATAGAATGACAAGAAAGAGTCTTGAGAAATTTAGCTTATCATTGGATTACTTGACAATCAGACTACCTCACTGCATGAGCCAAGTTTGTCTCGCTCTTCTGCCAGCCTTAAAAGTTGACAAAAGTGTTTCACTTTCCCAGGATTAGAAGGAACTTTGTGTATTTTTGTTTTGAGCAAACAAAAGACAAGTCTACCAAGTTAAAACACACCTTTACAGAAACAATGCTATTCAGTATACAAAAGTGATACTGCTTTTTCTAAAAAGATGAACCACATATAAAAGTTAACTTCAATAGCTGATTTAACATCAGTGGTCTGGATACAAGATCAAGTCACAGTTAATGCTTTTCTCCAAGGAAGCTCTTAAAAGCATCTAATGATTTGTTAAACAATTTCAAAGCTTCCCACTCATGACAGGGCAACAAGATGTATGTACTTGTATTGTGAAATAGATTTAATTCAACACCAAAGTACTTAAAAAATGCCTTCTTTGACTTAAAATGACTTACAGAACTTGACTTTGCTGTATAATGCAGTTAGATAACAAACACTCTGAGAGTAAGTTTAGCGTCACGGAGACAGGGAAATAGAGCAGTTTTAGATTTTACTCCACATTTTGAAAGATAGCAATTCAAAATAAGGCTCAGCTTGTCTAGCCTACCCATCCAAAATCTTGGAAGTTGGAGGGTTTTCCCAGGGGGCGAGATGCTCAACACTATGTAAAATGCTATCAGGAGCATCAGACTCCAGTGAGATGCAGCAGTCAGTATTCTTTATGCTATTCCAATGGCACCTGCTTTAATTGTCCTTTTGACTCTAGAGGACACAATGAAGAAGGAGCAAGTACAATATACATGAATGTTAAGCCAAGTTGAACATCATCAGATCACATGCTGAAAGGCAGCATAT